GTATTTGATAGTACGTTACAAGCCTGTCTGTTGTCTGTTCTATCTCCCTCGCCCTCTCTTCCTCTTCCTTTCCACACTCCCTCCGTTACTCACTCTCTCTCTCTCTCTCTCTCTCTCTCTCTCTCCTCTCTCTCTCTCTCTCCCTCTCTCTCTCTCTCTCTCTCTCTCTCTCTCCCTCTCCAGGTCCGTCTCCCTTCCCTCCCTCTCTCTCTCCCCTCTCTACTCACCCCTGCACTGGATCCGGTGTTGACGATCTGTGTGAATCCTCCGTTCGGTCCAAAACTCTGTCCCTCTGACACCGTACCCTGAGCGGTACCGGAGGCCTGGCCCACTCCTCCAAATCCTCCTCCCAGTCCTCCAAATCCTCCTCCGAACGGGGAGCCTCCGAAGCCGAGACCGAAGCCGGGGAAGGTGCCGAAACCTCCCGGCTGCAGGGAGGTGGAGGCCGTGTTGGCGAACCGGGCTCCGTCAGCACCCTTACCGCTGCTGGCCTGGGCAGAGCTGAAATTGGGGGCGCCACCCACGCTCTTGCCCTGAAAAGCACGAGAAACGATGAGTGGTTAGATGCAAAAATGTCAGCTCTTTGCACACTCCTGATCCCCGAGCTACATTCAAGTACGTCATGATTTTAGCGATAGGTCTGTAATTCGATTGCAGTGATATTGTTGAAACATTTGGAGTCACCTTGGATTGGCCTACAGCAGTGATCAATATTAATGGTGATTAATACAATGTTGCAATATTTTTCATATTAATTGTGCATATTTTGACAGAAAGATATAGTGCGATAAACCAAAAATATACAATAAAGTGATAGGTAAGATGCAAAATTTGGTTCGAAGTGACATTGGTATACCAAGTTGGTATCATTTAGTAATGGTTTAGGTAACAAGAAAGGCATCCGATCGATAGCTCGATCTGCTACTTACTTTGGCCACGGAGGAGGTCTGAGAGAGGTGCTGGGTCCCCTGGGGACCGACGCTCTCCCCCAGGGTAACGGAGCCCTGGGCGTTACCCGCCGCCTGTCCGGGAAACGTGAACGGCAGGGCAACGGCCGCGGACGCCGCCCCAAGCAGCACCAGCACCGTCCTCATCGTGACTGAAATGGCAAGGGTTATACAGCAACGTAAATAAAGGGTTATACAATAACGTAAATAAGTAATAAAACCAATCTGTTAACATTCAACCTGTCATGGGTGCTCAACAAGGGAAGGGGTTATGCTACGGTTAGCCGGGAACGAGCTCATGGAAACGCTACAACATTACCAAAACACTAACACGATGACAGCCGCATGCCTAAAGTGGCAGCATGTTATTTACAAACAAATTAAAAAGCAAAAAGAACAAAGATGGAAAGAATATAAATCGTACATCGGATGTAAATTGATCAATATTTTTTTAAGCGAAAGGTAGGACGTTGGTAATGGGCTTTGATTATACATAAAGCGGTGAAATAATTGTGGGCGGGTGCTGCTCAGCACGAGATAAGCGGCACCCGCTCTTAGCGCGCCGGCGCGAGACGGTTCCAGCTGTGAGGAGGGGCAGCAGAAACGAGTTTCGAAATTTACAGGAAATGCTAGCGTGTCTGCATTTCATAGCAGAGAAACACGAGGTGACATTCCTTCTTACACAATAGAATGTCATCTACTTACTTTTCAAATAATCAACTTAATGAAAAAAGGAACGAAGTTAGTTGTTCTCAGGCTAAGATATGAAAGGGTGAATGAAAAAAGAAGCTAATGGACTTTTAAAAAATCAGTTGCTTTATATCCTATTGACACGCAGTTGACAGACAACACAAAAGTGATGCACAACTCTATCATGATGGCCTGGATCGCTATAAAGAACACACCTGTCATTGTGGGCTGGATAGTGCAAATGTACAGCTGATTCACCTGAGTATGTATTTTATACGTGAGTGAGGAAGGAAACGATTAAAGACGCCGCTCAAGGTTCAGGTTACGTATTCTGACCCTGAATTCCCTTGGAGACCGCGGGGATTGACCCAGATATGCACTTCTCAGTGGAATGGAAACCTGCGAGGAAGCCACTTCTTAACACTATTCCGGGAAATATATCAGGGCCGGAGCCAGCAGCCGTCATCATTGGCCTGTATCATTTTCAAAGCGTGCGCAGACGTCTTCCTTCAGTATCATTCGCACCGCAAAAGTTATATCAAAAGAAAAAAATCCTGCTAGCATGGAGCCACACTTACTGGTGAAAAGTCATTTTCACTTAATTTTCAAAATCATTACCTTATTTTTCCTGAATAAGTGATAAATTGGCTATTGAATTCTGAATTAAATAAAAAAGTTACGACAATTCACAGACAAACAACACACTGATCCCAGAACTTTGAGCACACGCGGGGAGGAAATTAGGTACCTATTTTCACGGCGTATCATCTGGTAAATATACCAAACTTAGCCAAGTCTAACCAAATATCTTTTTATGTGGGCGAGGATGGATGACATGGTTATGATTAATATAAGGAGGCTTGAAATAATCTCACGCATGTCAAAGTGTATTTATTTTAGGCAAAATACATATCTAAAACAGTAAAACAAGCTTTCGGCATTACGCCGAAAGCGGCAATGTTTTCCAATATGATTATAATGTTAACCCGCGCCCCACTGAAGGGGGGGGGGCTATTCATAGCCCCCCTCCCGTTTTTCTGCAATAACTTCCAAACCGCTTGACGTATCGATGCCAAACTTTCAGTTCCTTCGGCTGCATCGATTTGACACCTTGATTCAAAATTTGAACTTCGTAGCTACCATAGGTCGGCCGGAAATGACGTCAGAGTGACGTCATGTTCGGCCGATTTCGACGCAAAACATTGAACCACGGCAATCGCTCCCGAGGGCTCAGTTTTTAAGCTAGATCCAATTTCTTTGCATGTGAGCACTCAGAATAGACTGCGCTATCAAATTGCCGTCTCGGATTTTCAAAATTTTGAAAATTTCGAAAATTTCATATCAGGGCATATTTTAACATACTGACTGCGTCCCATTTTGGGACGCAGCCCCCTGCCTTTGGGACGTAGCCCTCGCGAAATTTGGACCACTGCGTCCCACACTGAAATGCCACGGTTTCAGCCGAAAAGTGCGAGCAAAAATAAGTAACATGCCTCGGTCTTTTACTGTGTAAAAGATGTTAGCTTTCCGATTGCTTTGTGCCCTGATTTACTATGTACCTAAGCACATACATGCCCTCTCCAGTCCTTGTGCCCTGCCCTACCCTTGGTCATACACCTTATTATGTTCTTCCCTACTATACCCCTAGGATATGTGCCCTGCCCAGTGCCCTGTCCTTAGGTCTTGTACCTTGCCCTGCCCTTTCTTCAGGCCCTGTGCCCTGGCCTTTCTTCAGGCCCTGTGCCCCGCTCTGCCCTGCCCTCAAACACGATACTTTATATATTCTGCCTGGAAATTTGATGCGCTGCCTTCCCGTCTTTTGGCCCCGTGCCCTGCCCCTGCCCTACCCTAGTTTGGGGCCCCTGCCCTTCTCTGCCCTCAAGCCTTGTACACTTGTCCTGCCATCAGACCCCGTGCCGCTGCCTTGTCTTCAGGTACTGTGCCCTGCCCTGCCATCAGGCCTTGTGCCTTCCCATGTCCTCATGCCCCGGCCCCGCGCCCATCCTCGAGCCTAATGCCTTGCCCTGCCTCAGGCCCTGTCCTGTCATGTTCTGCTTCCAGGCCTCATGTGCATTGCCCTGCCCTTAGACCCTGTGCCCTATTCTGCCATGAAGCCTTATGCGTTGTATCGCCCTCAGGCCCGTGCCCCTGCCCGGCCTCGCCCTAAGTTGCTGTGCTCTGCCCTGTCGTCAGGCCTTGTGCCGTCCCATGCCATCAGACCCTGTGTCCTACTCTGCCCTCAAGCCCTGTATTCTGCATTGCCCTAAGGTCTCGTGTCCCATGCTCGCTCTCAGGCGCTGTGCCCTGCCCTGTCATCAGGCCCTGTGGTGTCTCCCGCCCTCAGGTCCCGTGCCGTTTCCCGTCCTCATGCCCCGTGCCCTTACCTGTCCTCAGAACCCGTGCTTTGTTCTGCCTCCATGCCCTGAGCCTTGCCCTGCCCTCAGGCCCCATACCCTGGCCCTGTTTCACCGGTGATAGCAGCACGCTGCTATTACACGTGTCAAATTGGGTTTCCATGGAGACATCAACAGGCCCATTGCTCAAACACTACCACAAGTATGACGTCAGCTCGCGGAATTTGATAGCAGCGTCCGACGTCCGTGAAACACTGCCCACGTCTTGTCATACTTTCGGGGCCCGAAGGTATGACAAGACGTGGGCGGTGTTTCGGGCCTTGTGTCATATCTGTGTCTTATGTCTTGCTCTACCTTTAGGTACTATTTCTTGCCCTGCTCTAAGATCCTGCGTGTTGCCCTGCCATCAGGTGTGTTGATCATCAGGTGTTCTAAGGCCCTGTGTCTTGCACTACTCTCCGGCCTTGTGTAATGATAGCCTCAGACCCGCGCCTTGCCTTGCCCTCGGACCCTGCATCCTACCCAGCCCTCAAGTATCCGTCTTAGCTTAGCTTCATGGCCTGCCTGTGCCTGCCCTGTCCTTAGGGCTCAGACTCTGTGTCCTGCCCTTCCCTAAAGTCCTGTTTAGAGATGTCAAGTTGGAGCCCGCAGGCCCGGAGCCTGGCCCAAAATCCGGCCTTACAGGGCTTTTGCATGCACAGTGGATTGTATCATTGTTTTGAGGTACCTCATCGAAACGCATCGACTGATATGCGACATGATCTATCTTGGTCACGAAATGACCGTAATGTGAGCTCAAGTTCTGACCTTGACATTTCGAGGTAAAAATGAGAGAAGAACGATCGTGCAAACGAAAATTCTCTACCTTTTTTTAGTTCAAAAGCTTTTCATGAAACCAATATTGACAAAAATGGTAATTTTACCCGTTTTTGGCTATGGAGCCTTAACCGTTGATCTGAACTCAATCCTGACGAAATATTGACGAAAGAGCTGTTCAAGATATATCGATTGCTTTTCTCCTATCGATTGCGCCCTCCTAGCTATCATAGTTTTTGAGATACCGGCACGTTTTCCGAAAAAAATATCGCATCATTGCGAAGTTTGACATTTGATGGCATACGGTCAGATCAGGGCCGTCATGGCCGTCTGGCCATAGGAGGATATAGAGGGGGCCACGGGGCCATGCTCCCCCCCCCCCCCCAAAGCGCCCGGACATGGCACAAAATCGACACATTTCTGGGCATAATAATTAAACAAAGGAACTTCCATTGGGAAAAGTTTGGGTTATATTACATGATAGGCAGTAAGGAAGCGAAATCCGAAGCATCCAAAGCATCCGTTCATCCAAACCATTAATCTATGATGGATTTTTTATGTAGCTTTAAAATCCGATGATTTTTTGTCACAACTTAGGTGGGTACTGTTTGACCTTACGTCATCTAATTATTTCAAACACATAGTATCTTCAATGCAAATTGGCCATGTTTCACACGTCAACCTCTATTTTAAATCAATTGATAAGGGTGAAAAACGCATGAAGAGACGTATGTATCACATTTTAATCATGTGCATATTCATATTTATTCTCTAAGCATAGGTACAATTTGGTGCGTCAAGGGAGGTCAAATACGCCCAACGCCGTTCAGGAAAACGACGAGTGACTAACAACAATGTAAATGTCATTTTAAATCGCCGGTCCGCCCTTTGAATGCGGATAAAGAACGCACTACGACTGGGCGAATTTCGAGACTGGCCAAAAGCAATCACAGCCCGCTCCCAATATCCCGCTTGCAGTGCCCCTCCACCAGCACAGTACACAATTTATCTGTACATTATCTCACTTGCATTATATACTATTTCGCTTGCAATGTGCCCTTTCCGATCAAAGCATGTGCCCTATGCCACCTTTGGGACGCAGTGAAAAATCCTTAAAATATGCCCTGTTTCATATAATAAAATTCAAAACCTACATTTTTACATTTTTTCAAAAAGTTTTTGATTTTTCGAAAGAAAATAGGAATATATGTGATAGAACGCGTTATTATAACTAACTCTAGCATGTTTTAGCTAAATATCTTCAAAAATGGCCAAGTTATACGCATTATTGCAAAAAATTAACAATTATTAATTTTTCAAATCACTTTTCAGCACATATTTGACATCGTACGCCAATATAAATAGCACCATCGTGTTTCTGAGCTCAAACTGCATCCAATAGACACCTTTTCTATTGAAAAATCATAACTTCAAAATTTGACCTTTTTTGACCTGAAAGTGACCTGACGGCTGACCTAAGCTAAATTCGACTTAAAATGACCTCGAATGACACAGACGACATCAAATTCGAAATCTTTGGCCTAAATGGACCATAAAACATGTGTCACGTGACTGACGCATGATATAATATTTTCGTGACCTGTGATGACCTGACCTTGACCTGAAAATCAAAGTACAAGTTTGGTACCCTCAGGGTATCTAGAGCATCTGTTCATGAGTGTGTGAACCAAAAATGAGCCTGATCTGACTTGTAAGACGGCGGCCAGAGCCCAAAACGTGAACAAGCCAAAATGCTAATAGTTTTTACTTTGACCTGACCTGTGACGTCATCAGTGACCTCAAGGTCAATGAAATTAGGTTTCGTTCGACAGTTTTTCCGGGGCTATCAGACGCCGTTTTAATTTTGACGATCGGCCCAGTAGTTTCGGAGCTAGGAGGGGGGCTATGAATAGCCCCCCCCCCCCCCAGTAGGGCGTGTTATACGCAGACCCCAGTGGGGCGCGGGTTAATGTCAATGTTTACTGACCGAGTGTTGATGTATGCGGCTGATGTTGAGGTGAGATTTATTGACATCGTTGTACTTATGATGTATTGTGTGCATGTCATGTTGTAGTGTACGTAATGATACATTGTTGTACATTATTTACTTGCCATGTGCAATGTACCACACTATTTGCAACGTATTGCAATACGCTTAAAAAGTGAGCTGCTATGAGGATGCCTGGAACAATGTGATTGTGCTCTAGCTTTTGAAAATCAAAAACATGTTAATTTATTCAAACTTGATGATGGCGTAATGCCGAAAGCTTGTTTTACTGTTTTAGATATTTTTTTTCGCTAAAATAAAAACACTTTGACATGCGTGAGATCGTTTCAAGCCTCCTTAGATATCTTTTTACAGCAGTTATCCAAATATCATAACTTTATTTCAATGCCGAAATAAATAAAACGTAATGCCGGATAATTTGATTACAAACGAACCAGTAAAGCTTGGTCTTCGTAGAATTATAGAAATTTCTGAGTAAGTAGTCACTATTCAGCGTAGCTTATGTCTCTGCAGTCACTGGACCGTTTCCCTTGTGATCTGTTTTGAAAGGTAGCTTCATCCATGTCTGCCAAGTATTCGACTATTCCTGATGTGTATGGTTGATCCCTAATGCACGTGCTACCTGCTATACGAAGAAGTATCGACTTGATAACAGTTAAAATAATTCGGTATTTACTGGGTCGATTGTGCGGAAACTTGGAATGCATGATTGTATAGGCACTCGCCGGCTAATGAATTTTCATAAGCTACGCTTTGGGTGCTACTGCACGTGCGCACGTGTCAAGGGGTCACTGGTTATATTTGTTAGCTCCCGTCCTCTTAGGAATGGGTTGAACACCCCCTTGTAGTATTCCTCAAATGTTAGCTTTGGTAAAAAAATAGCACACCTTATCACAACCACGTCTGCGTATGTTACAAAAAAAAAAAATCTGCAGTAACCATTGACCCACCGAGGTGGCATTGAGGAACATTTGTCAGAGGCCCACAGATTCTGCTCAGTGCCAGCTGAGTAACCATTGGCACACTGAGTCGCCACCAAGGGCGGCAAAAGACAGGTCTGTTTTATTATTTACGAATTAGCCCTCGTTTACTCGAGTATAAAGGCGACCCCCCGACCAAGCAACGGCCGGAATCTATACCACCACGTTCCGTGTGGCAGTCGTTACCTGTGTGGCTCTGGCCTCCACCCTGACGAAGCCGCCTCCCTCAGCCAATGCTGAATGCGGTCACATCGCATCGCTCGAAATACAACGTTCGAGGGTTTCCAAGCCTGCTCCGCACGAGATACCCGAGTCTGTTCCGTTCCTTGAGAAGGGCGGTAGAAACATCATCGCCCTGCCGTCTGGATCGAACCTTATGGAAAGTCCTAACTTCCCAGGTCAGTATCCGAGCATCTTGGTTATCCCTAACTTAGCCAGATAAGTTTTCCAGATAAGTTTACAAGGTTAAGTAGATAAGGTTATAGATGAGGTAGATAAGGTTATCCAGATAATGCACTTTTCATATGATAATGCATATGTTTCGATATGATATGCCATGCCTATATGCTAGACTTGCTCTGTGACAATCATTTTATACTAGTTATGTTCCTAAATTATGACATGATACGCATAAAATAAAAATGTTATCCGCCAGGGTTCACTAGGATGGGTTCATTGTTGTCAAAGGGGTCCAGCAACATTTCTTACCGGGCCGCCACACAAGTCCAGTCCGCGACAAACCATGAGGCGGTCGAGATGAGCTGGATTGTGGCGCAGTTTGATACCCACCCGCCCTTCGGATAGGGTTGGATGATGAGGGGCGGCACGCCATTTGCCACTAAGTCGAGCCGCGACTCGCGGGTGGCTATCCGTGCGGTCAGCTCTACTGGGTCACGGTCAACGCAAGTGGGTTATATAATTTCGTCGGAAATTCAGATTCATCAGGAAGCTGAGTGTTCCTTCTGGTCACTAAGATCATGTCACTGGGTGACGGTAATCTCTTCCAAGAATATCTCAGCGGACATCCAGCATATAAATTCGATGCTCGTCTAGCCGCACCTCAGTGGATCCTGAAGTCCATTTGGAATCAAAGGTAGGGTAGCATTGCATCATTGCTGGTAGCAAGTGTTTTAGATGCTCGCTCTTTTGACATGGATATTTAATTATAATCCGTGATATAATCGAAAATAGAATGTGATTTAAGTGCATCGGTCATGAGTCCTGGAATCACCCAAAAATTGCATATCATTGATAAACCCTGCTAAGCTAATGTCATGACTGCTGCCTTCTCCATTGTAAATTGCTGAAGGCTTTTCACACTCGTGTAGTTGTGAGTGTACTTAATTTGGGAGATGTTAAGCATCTCGACTTTATTTGGAGACGTAGTCAGGTATCATACATCATGCCTACACAGTACACACAACTACTACTCGCAATATCGAAGCAATCGCCGTACCACCTCTCTGCCTACCGAGTGTGACGGTCTCCCTCCCACACCTCCCTCAGAGTTGACGATCCTGCTGACGACGATGCTGACGCTCCTGCTGACGACTCTGGTGGCGTCCGCCGCCGGCTCCCTGGTGGGCCCGGCGTCCGGTCACGCGTCCGGCACCGTCTCCCAGCAGATCTTCCAGCAGCCGTACAGCAGCGGCAGGTTCACCACCACCCAGTCGGCGGCCTCGGTGAGTCAGGGGGCCGCACAGATCCGGCAGGGCAGGGGCCGGGGTCACGGAGGGAGAGCTGGTGACGTACTAGACGTTAACGCTTTTGATGGTGAACACGTATTAGATGTTGACGCATTCGATGTTGATGACGTATTAGATGTTTAGGAAGCATTAGATGCTGATGAGTGATGCGTGATAGTTGCCGGTGATAGAGTATCTCTTAGATCGTCGCATGGAAACGCCAATTATCCGGCCATTCTTACCCGAGTACGATTAAAATGATTTGTGCAACATACGGCAGCATAATTTGCGTTTGGCTTTCGATTGCCTTCTGTTTTCCATTAGCTGCTTAGTACACCATCTAAAAGACGACAGCCAGTCTCTGTATAAGTCTAAAAACGATATTATCATCACCTCCAGCAGAAGCATAGCATCTCTATCAGTCTAACCTCCGCCTCTTCCGTTCATGCTACAGGGATCATCAGGCCTGGGCAGCTCCAGCTTCAGCGGCGCGACGGCCAACTCAGCCAATTTCGGCGGGGTGACCCACTCGAACACGGGCGCCAGCTCGGTGCAGTCGGGACTCGGTCTGGGAGGAGTGGCGCACTCCCCGGTGATTGGAGGCGGAGGATACGGCGCAGTTGGAGGACAGAGGCCGGTTATCGGAGGACAGCGGCCGGTGGTCGGAGGAGGAGGAGGGTTCCGGCCGGTAACCGGAGGTCAGAGGCCTGTGGTTGGAGGACAGCGTCCTGTGGTAGGCGGCGGAGGGTACGGCGCGGTCGGAGGTCAGAGACCTGTCGTTGGAGGACAGCGACCTGTCGGAGGTCTGGGACGCCCTCGGCCAGTGGTGGGCGCTGTCGGACGTCCCCGGCCGGTGCTCGGGGGCGGCTACGGCCAGCGCCCGGTCCTCTCGGCCGGTCTGGGAGGTCAGGTGGCCGCCAGCAACGCGGTACTGTCGGCAAACCTTCAGCAGGCACAGGGCTCGCTGGTTCAGGCGGGTGGCGCCCTGAACCAGGCCGTTGGTACGCTTCAGAGTGATGTGGCCCACCTCAGCCAGGCGGCGGCGGGCGCAGGTCACGGAGCGCTGGGCTACGGCCGCTGAGGGGCGGGTCAGGTCAGCCTGCCGCCCACCTGCGTCCTGTGTTTATCCTTTATTTGTTGAACAGAACACGTCAACAGTACCTTATGTGAGTGGTGGGACGCATGTAGCCGCTATGTGATGTGATGCGATTATGTTATCAATATAAAAACATGCCTCCGATTGTGTTTACTCCGTTGAAAGGATTAACTATTTGCTGGAGTGTTAATCAGGTCGCTAAGTGTTTTTTTTTATAAAAAAAGAATGCCCTTTTGTTACACAAACATGCCTGAGGGCTGCAGGAAGAATTATTTTGCCTACTGAGTACGCGGAGACTACTGGCACTTCACTGCTGTGTTCGCCACTGCTTGCGGTGCCTGGATGGCGGCCAGTCTCTCGATGACCTCAGAGACGTGACAATCGCTAGTGATCCGGTCAGCCAGAGCACCTGCAAATATGACCTTGGTAAGATCATATACGTCCAGTTGATAATATGGAAACAGAGCGGCGCCTTGTGGCTAGCTGCCTGAGCCCAGCGGTCGAGTTCAGCGGAAAATAAATTAAAAGATAAAGTATGGTGAGCAGACCTTTGAAGATGCCAAAAGCAGGTCAGTCGCGCCCAGAACAACAAGGACATCGGTAATTCGTTCATACAGTCCTCGCCGAAACATGGCTACCTACCTATTACCGCATCTTGTCAGATTGCTCACACACATCATGATAAGGCAACGCAGGCGACTAAAAAGGAAACGACACACGCATCGCTGACTCATGGTCACAAATTCGCGCACTGATTCTCCACTCAACAAAAGTTATCTGATGGTGTCTGTCGAACGCTCTCGGTGGCACTGCATAGCAGCACGCTAGATAAACAGCCGGCTCTCTGCTGAAGTATCCCTCTCTGTTCAATTCTCAATTATCAGTACGTATATTTAACATCGTACAGCAATATATGTAAATAACTCCATCATGTTCCTGAGCTCAGACTGCATCTGACAAACACCTTTTTGTTGAAAAAAAAAATCATCTTTAAAATTTGACCTTTTTGACCTGAAAGCAGGGCTGCGGAGTCGATGGATTTTCGGCGCCTCCGACTCCGACTCCGACTCCGGCTTTCAAAAGCCAGCTCCGACTCCGACTCCGACTCCGGGCAGAATTGTCGACTCCGACCGACTCCAACTCCCGACTCCGACTCCGCAGACCTAGCAGGGCTGCGGAGTCGACAGATTTTCGGTGACTCCGACTCCGACTCCGGCTCGGGTTTCTAAAATCGACTCCGACTCCGACTCCGGTCACAACTGTCGACTCCGACCGACTCCGACTCCGACTCCGACTCCGACTCCGCAGCCCTGCCTGAAAGTGACCTGACCTAAGCTATATTCAGCTGAAAATGGCCTCAAATGACACAGGCGACACATAGTTCGAAATCTACGGCTTAAATGGACCATAAAACATGTGTCACGTGGCCGATACATGATATAAAATTTCCGTGACCTGTGATGACCTGACCCTGACCTGAAAATCGAATTACAAGTTTCGTACCCTCAGCGATAAAGCACCTATTCACGAGTGTGAAAACCAAAAAGGAGCCTGATCTGACTTGTAAGCCGGCGGCCAGAGCCCAAAATGTGAACAAATGAAAAACATCGATAATTTCTACCTTGACCTGACCTGTAACGTCATCGGTGACCTCAAGATCAATGAAATTAAGTTAGCTCGAAAGTTTTTCCGGGGCTACCATGCATCGTTTTAATTTTGACGATCGGCACAGTAATTTCAGAGTTAGGAGGGGGCTATGAATAGCCCCCCCCCCCCCAAGTAGGGTGCGTTATATAAAGACCCAGTGGGGCGCGGGTTAAATGTGTTGTATGTTTGGTCTGTTTGGTCTGTTACTTGAAAGTCACGTGGATCACACAATGCACTATACCTATTTTGCTCGTCAATGCTATGCGAGTTGTTCGTAATGCAACACGGAAACCTGCAAAGCATCACATTTGGTATGGTAAACACAAGCATTAAACCGTGCAGAAAGGTCATCTTAGGTGATAGTGGTCATTTAAAGGTTTCCGCTAGTTATAGCCCATGACATGATGGAGCTAGAGGCCTGCACATGACACGACCCTTACTAAAAAAGTAGGTAGGTACCTACATGCTAAATCGATTTTGTGAAATTAGGTCTTTTGTGAGTTGTGACCATTAAAATTTAAAATCGCTGACCTGATGCCATTTTTGACGGAGAAACTTTACTGGAGCTTGGGAAAAGTTATGTTCAAAACATTTAACGTTTATTTCGGATTCCGTCTAACTACCTGTTGAGAAAATAGCAAGCATTTCCGCAAATGCAACAGTTATACAAAAACAAAATTTGGTGACATCAATATTGACCTGACCCGAAGGCGAAAGTGTTGTTATTATGTGAACATAAAAGTTGTACGTCTTTCAACGAACTAACTAACAAACGTCGTTTACCGGTTGTATTGTAGCTGCCCCGATGCTTGGTTGCCGAGATCGGGGGGGGGGGGAGAAAAGGCCCCCACCAGAAACCGAACCTTTCAGAATTCAGAGCCCACACGGAAAAGGCGCCCATAGAACATCCCTCAGGCAGGGAACGACTGGTGACACTTTTTCGGAACGATTTTTTAGCTGCGACTTTAGAGGCCCCTGCGGCTGAGAGGCTTAGGACGCCTCTCCACATGGGAGGAGGTTAGGAACTAGGAAGTTCCTGCGAATGGGGACGACTTAGGACGCTCCCCTGGTTGGGCGACTTGGGACACCCTTCCAGAGGAGGCTTATGACGCTCCAGCTGACACTGTGCCGTGATCATCCGACATCCCCCCGACGACACGCAAAGAGCCAGACCGTACCCGGCAGCTCTCTCTCTCTCTCGTGACGCTGCGGTCAAAAATTCCCTGCTTCGGCACCCGTCGAGGTCAAGGTCAGATTACCGACGATTCGCGTCAGCTGCGACACCGCAAGCTGGACTTCCGCAAAAAAAAAATTGGGTCAAGTTTTCCAGTTAGGAAGAGCTTCTGGAAATCCCAAATTCAGATCATGCGATGGGCTGTTAATAACGATAAATTACATATATTCACGTTGGAATTCCCGTCACTGTAACTCAGCATCGTGACTGAAAGGCCTTCACGACTGAGAGGCCTCACTTTTTCGAATGTCTAAAACAAAAACGATTCATCACTTCCGCAAATCTTGTGACTCCGGCGCAAGGTTTTTGATAGCCAGGTCACCAAGGCTGATCAATTGACCTAACCTTAATGAAATTCAGCTTCTCTACATGGCTAGATCGACTAACTATTAACGATTGCCTTAAAGCATTCCACAATTCGCTGTTACTTCGACAAACATTCGCCAATTGTTGGATAGTAGTAATAAATTTCGCTTTTCCGTTGTTAAATTGTATACATATATGCATGTATGTGCATTTAAGCTTGTGTTTCCTGCTTTGTTGCGTGTGTGCAGTGTGCGAGTTTTTTTTTCTAACGGGTGCCCACTGCCCACATCTCACGTACTATTGTGCTAGTTACCGGTCACGTTGTTGACTGTTGGTAGCCATGACAACGACCTCGCTGGGTCGGCCCATGCCGCTCTCTACTGTAAACAAATGTCTGACCGCCTGCCATCGACCGAAGCCACGCAGGAATCAATAACGTAACGGTGACTGAGGCACCTGTGGTTACTGCTACAGTTACACTCACCTGGCCTCATGCTCTTCTTCCGCCGTTTTTACGCATTCTACCACATATGCTCAAGTACATATACGTACCTAATTTGTTTTCAAATAGAACGGCAAAATTCTTATCACAGCGGATTCCAAATTACACAAAAAGAGATGAAGAAAGCCACGCTGTAGAGTGCAGGGGAATCTAGGCTTTCAACCGGCGTCCCGCTGGGTGTTCTGGATTTCCACGCCCTTCTGGGGCGGAGGATGTTTGAGCGGGTGCGTATTAGAATAGCCAGTAACATTTTACTTTGACATTTGAGCTAGTACAAAAGAGGCTAGTTCCTCCACACAGCTATATAGTGATAAAGTCGCTGGCATCAAATAGCTGGTTGTTCAAAACAGCTAGTGCCTCAAAATAGCTAAAGCTAATGTCAGAATAACTTTTTCAAAATGTAGTTTCAGAAAAGCCAGTGACAAAATTGCTCATGCATGAAAATATATGATCCTCTTTTCCCATTTACGTTCAAGGATTTCGAGAAACTTGAGCTCAGGATAAGGCCATGGCCTTACCGGGAAAAGTCATGTTGCATATCAATCGATCCGTATCGTCGAGCCGAACACATCTAAGGCGTTCCGCGTTTACAACGCTCTAGGTGGTGATGTTCAATAGGGTGTGTCGTCACTCACAAATCATAATTGGAATGTGATTAACCCTCGCCCCGTTGGGGGGGGGGCCATTTTGGCCCCCCCCCTGTGGTTTTTCCTGAATAGCAAGAAAACGGCGGCGCGCAGCGCCGCCAAATTTTTAGTACCTTCCCGGGCATCAATTTGACACCTTCACACCAAATTTCAAGTCTTAGATCACCTTAGGTCAGGAGTTATTGAGGTCAAACTGAGGTCATGTTCGAGCAAAAATGAGCAAAAAACATGCAATCTTGAAACGCTCACCAAATCTACAGTTATCAAGCAATTTCAAAGTTCTTTATATGGTCTAGTAGAAAGAAAGCGGCGCTACAAAACTGCTATCTCGGATTTTCAAAATTTCTGGTTTTTGACCAAAAAAAAAAATCAAAAAATTGATTTTTTTAGAAAAACTTTGCAAAAATCCAAAAATTTTCCGAATTTCGAAAAAGCCGGAATATATGTGATATTCCCAGCGCTCTTCTATATACATACCAAATTTCAGATCGATATCTCGTTTTTTGGCCAAGTTATAGCGAAAAAACTGTTCAAAAATGATGACGTCAAATTTTTGAACTCAATTTTTAGCAATTCTAGACGACGTACGGCAAAACAAAGACCACCATTGAACTCCCCGTGACGAGCTGCATCGATTCCATACCCATTTTATGCAAAAATATTAACTTTGAAATTTGACCTAATTTGACCTGACCTTGACCTGACCTTGACCTGACCTTGACCAAAACGTGATCTAAGCTGGCCCCAAAGGCTGCCTGACCCATATAATCGCATTTGTCATGTAAAATGGACCATAAAACATGTATCA